CGAAGGTCATAGGTTCGATTCAAGCAGGTAGGGGTCATGGATGCCCAATGTCGTTGATGAGTCCCACACTAGGACTTAATAAATCGATCATTCGCTCAGGTGATGGATGTTGATGGTAAGACAATAATAATAATAATAATAATAATAATAATAATAATAATAATAGCACAAAGATAAATGAATAAAGATAACAAGGACAGTGATATTTAGCTAAAAATGATTGGATTTACATTAGTTGGATTAGGTCATTCTTTAGTTTAACATTACTATTGGCCAATTAGAGTTGAGGTTAGCCCCGGTGAAAAAAAGGTCGAATATATTTCATTCGAACACATAACTCTAACATTTGAATCTGGACATTGATGATCATTGATTCTTTGAATCAGACTGTTTTTATGGCTACAAAATTATTGACTCAACAAAAAATTATTGATGAAAAATTTATTTATACTGACGCTTTCTAACTAGTTTGCATTAAATGATCCATTATTGTACTGTTCATAGCCTACACTCATCCATCTTTGCTTAGTCATGCTAAGAGATGTGTTGTTAACAAGCGTGAAAATATTAATCCGTAGAAATTTAATATCTACTAATAACATCATTCAATTATCCTTCTTGTGTTCGAACAATGGCATACATACAATAATATATCACATTTTGAGAACCATGAATAGATCAATGTTAGACTGCCATTAGAAACCTGAAAGCACTGGCTTCGAAAATATGTAATTCAACAATCTTCACAACCCTGTAATGCAAATTACCTGTGCTCACCTGTGACCAGCTTCGTGAGGAATCTTCTCCAAGTTGTAGTGGGAAGTCGTGACCAATGAAGTTCAATCTGTTCGGGTGTAGACAGTAACTACCTAAGACTGTGTATGAGGTTGCGCAGCTCCGTGAATTGATCAAGTTAGACATTAACGCCGTTAGATACCGGCTCAGTGGTCCAGAGGTTAGGTAGGCGTTCGCGCACAACACCGAAGGTCCTTGGTTCGAATCCTGTGAGGCGCAGGAGTTGTGGGTGCGCACTGCTGATGAGTCCCATAACCACAACGAAACGGCCGTCGATCAGTACTTCTTCCAGGTTTCTAATGGTGGTCTAACATTAATCGATTCATGGTTTCAAAAATGTGTAACTTGACAATCTTCACAACCTCTCAATGCAATAATTTTTCAATCAAAATGGATCCGATTAGCTATAGTTAACATATCAGTCAGTGCTTAAATCAAATCTCTCGCCATATGTATTTATATGAATATATATATTAATCTATTTCGTTTCATTGTCCATCTGCCCAGGCACATAAACAGACACATTGTCTAACGAACGACGGAATATTGTTGTTATTCTTTTTTACCAAATGTTATGATGGAACAATCAACTTGTTCCCATTATTCTCATTTAATATCCCCCTTGTTTTGTTTTTTTATTATCAAAGAAGAATCAAAACTATGTATATATATATGACGTAATAAACTGTCTTTATACTAGCTTAAAACATGATTGGAAGAAAAAACATTAATGGAAAAAGTAAACAACAAATGAGAATTCGAACAAATAAATAAATACATTTTTTTTTAGAAAAAAAAGCAGAGAGGAAAATAGATAAGAAAAAAACTAAATTTGATGCATAAATAACAAAAAAAAACAAACAACGACATTGAAATACACAAACAATTTTATTTTCAACTTGATAATAATTTACTAGATAAAATTTGTTTGGTCTTTTTTAGAATTATTTAGACAAGAATAAATAATCATTATTATTATTCCTTATAATATAAAGATGATGTTTTATATTCTATAGCACAATAAGATAGGAATATAGAGAGAGAGAATATATATCATGATAAAGAGATGAGATGGAAAATTCCTTTTCTTCACTGTCTCAACTCTTTGTCTGTCTACCTAATTAACTGGCTCTTACATTATCTCTATGTACGTGAGTAGTGTGCACAGGGTTCATGTAAAGAAAAGATAGACATATTATTATTATTAGTGGTAGTAGTAGTAGTGTAGTGGACGAGAACATAGGTGAGGGCAATCGAATTGTACAGAGTTACTCAGTAAAATTGGAAAACCATATCGTAAATCGTCAATTTGCAAAATATCAGTTCATCCTATCAAACTGGACTGTTCCTGTTACAAAACATCAATCCAATGACACTGTTCATGCGTTTCATACAAATTCCATTGTTTTCTAACTCTTCGTTTCTTGATCTTCCCCCATATTATGCTGCCAGACCTTACGTTGACACTCACATCATATACTACTTATAAGTAGCTCACACCACAGTAGTAATATTGGTAGTAAGGAGTTGTAGAGATTATTGAATGCTATTGATATTACAAACTGATCTAAGTTAGACAAACACTGTAAACTAGGAAGAACAAAAGAGTTGTTTCATCTTGGTATATGATACTTCTCAGAAGCAGTGAGATCCTCTAAATTCAACGGTTTAGGAGTTGAGTACTCATGTATCAGACCGAAAGTGCATAATTGTGACGGATGTCCAGTGCTTTCAATAGTTGTCTAACTTTATTATTTAATGACATCAAAAATATTAATTATGGATTTTTAGTAACAGTGGAAGAACAATACGGAACTCTAAGTAAGTAATCCTTCGATTTTAAAGTACCATACCTTATGAGATTTTCTTATGATTGTGAAACGTAAAAATGAAAAGTGGCGAAGGTTTAAAAACGTCAACGCAGAAACCTTTTCAAGACTATATGGCTCAACCATACAGACGTGTTTACCCTATGCACTTCCATATATATATATATATATATATATATATATATATATATCCCTTGCTTCCTGAAGCTTTGGATTACTTCATTAACTAATGCTATATAATTTACTGTTCCTATTCCGTTGCTAGGTTATCAGTCGGAGTCTTCCCTATTCACAGCCACTTTCTAAATTGTTCATGATATTTTCCACTAATTGGTATTATGTGGTCAACTGTGCCCTGTATACAAACCACGTCTGTTTGAAATATCTGATTTGATTCGATCGATGGACGCTTTTTACAGAATTTCGGACTCAATGGGCTGGGATAGAAAAGAGAATTCTGAACCAATAGGAACTTAGCTGCTAAAGTCAAGGTTATTAGCACGTAAGCGTATCCTGATTGGTGTTTTGTTTTTTTCACGTGATATCAAGCGTTGAGTCAGGGTTACAACAAGTACATCTATAAATCGGTTAAAATAACTTATCAACATAATATCATCAGCCTAAATTTAACAACCAAATCCTTCAGAAGCCACAATTATCGACTATTTAATCACTGATAGAAATCACAGTCATTTTGATGCATAAGAGTAAGAAGTTTTTGTTCCGAATTCTTACTTAGCATGAAACATACCAGTGTAGTTCAAGTATAGCACATTGAAAACGAAGAAAATTTAACAACAAATTAAAAACTTAAAAGAGTTTCAAAACAAAAACTCTTTTAACACTAAAGAAAGTAGCACTTATTAAATAAAAATGAATATAATTTATGGACGATTTTCGGGTGACAGACCAAGTGAACTTTCAATCACTCACTAGTGTCGAAAGAGGTTTATGAATTAATATAAAGAATTAGTATCAGAAGTGAAAGTTAAAACTTAGGGTCAAGGATTAAAGTTAACATTCTCATCACGAACTAACATCAGCTATACATACATGGATCTGATTCCATGTGAATTGGTGGAGTCGTTGGCAGAGCATTGCCTAGAAGTCTTATTTAATGGGAAAAGAAAGTTATTATTCAGTGCTTTTAAATTTTCCATAGTTGTTTAAATTAGACCTGTTCATGATTCCAATGTTTAAAAAAACCCAACTTAGCCTGTCAATTATGGCGACATTTGAATAGCTCACTTTTATTTGAAATACCTGCTGTAAATGTTGTCTTGAAGGACAATGATTGTGAAAGCAATAGTCAACAGGTAATATAAAAATGACTCAATGAAATAACCAACAAGTTAACGAAGCACCTGATACGAATGTGTTTCATCGTAATTAGTAGTAATAGTAGTCAGTAAGTCAGTCAGATGCAACGTAGAACTTCGTACGTAAGTACATCAGTTCATATTGCAATACCACATCAGCACAGAGATATAATTGTCAATTCAAATCCAATAGTAGTAAAGGTAGTAAGGGAATTAGAAGTAATCGGAGAGGTTAGGGTTAGAAGATACTATTCAAGAAGAATGATTCAGTGAGAAGTTTAGAGAGTTGAAACTAGAGGTGTTGAAGAATCCAGAAGATTAGGATTTGAGAGAACACAGAGAATAAATGCACCGGCGCCATTGCGAACGGTTTTGAGCCATGTCATTCAAGGTCTCTAACCATCGATTATTATCAGGTAGTCGACAATTACCGACATGGCTAAGTCCACTTCTCAGTGACTTCATGGATTTCGGCCATGTTTTAGTTTGGCAGCCTCTAGCTTTCTTCCAACCTATTCCTACATCATAAAACAAAGCTCGTCGAGGCAGTCGAAGGTTAGGCATACGTAACACACGTCCCAACTACCTCAACTGATGAAGTTTCACCACTTCATCTATTGATCTGCCATCCTTACCTAGTACTCGTTTCCTAACGACAGCATTGATTACTCGGCTGTCCCACGATATACGAGCAATGCTTCTTAAACATCTATGATCGAATACTAGTAACCTACGAACATCTTCTACTCTTAACGGCCATGTTTCACAGCTATATAAGAGAACGGAACGAACTGCTGCGCAGTACACCCGCCCTTTGGTTAGCGAACGGATATCACGCCTACGCCATAAGTGACGCAGGTTGGCAAAAGCCAATCGAGCCTTCTGTATCCGTGCTGAGATTTCGTCAGTCACCAGGCTATCAGCACTGATGAGACTCCTCAGATATGCTACTTATGATAATGATTTCAGTCGAATTTATAGGCTCAGTGTACTGTGGCAATAAACTAATAGAAGTGCTCTTTACTCAAATAAAAGATATATATATATATTCACATACTTGCTGACTTCTCAGAATTTTCAACTGTTCTGCCTTGTTTCTCATATTCGATAATAGATAGTTCATGATTAATAGAAGATTTGATTTGATGATCTCTGCCTCTTGTTCTAATACTATTATTATTACTATTACTCCCACTATTATTATTAGATGATCTCCCTACTGTTGACATCGTAGTAGTTATCGTCGTCGTAGGTAACGACGTCGACGTTGTTACTGTTGTCGACGTTAACGATGTTGCTAGCAGCGGTGGTGGCGGTGTTGGTGTTGTCGTTGTCATTATATCATCTTGTCTAGATGCATCAAACCAACGTTGTTTAACTGTTTTATCAAATAACGACGATGAGAGGCTTGCGGTTGTAGTATTGGCAACAGCTGTAGGAGCATTAGGAGGTGGTGGCGGAAGTGGAGGAACTATAGGAACTGTAGTATTCGAGTCAAAGAAACCACCATTTGTAGAGGTAGGATTAGAAGCGGCAACAGCCGCCGCCGCAGCAGCAGCGGCGGCAGCGGCAGCTGCTGCGGCTGCAGTTGCATCAAATTCCTTAGGATCAAAAGTTGGAATATTTCCAATACTAGTACTACTACTACTACTATTAATGTTGTTATTGGTAGTTGATCTTGGAAGCCATGACATTGACCCAGTGTTAGATAAACCAGAAGCTGCTGCTGCTGCGGCCGCAACCGCCATAGCCGCAGCAGCTGCATTCGCGGATGTCGACTGATGAGGATGTTGTTGTTGTTGTTGTTGTTGTTGCTGTTGATGTTGTTGATCATTTGTAGTTTGTAACTGACCAGTTAATACAGGATGATGAGTCGATATACTAGTGATAAGTTGATTTTGTAAACTTGATACACTTGATAATAATGCTGCTGCTGCACTAGCTATTAAAGCTGGATGACATGATGTCGGTGTCGATTGTGTAGGAATAGTTAATTTATCCATTGTATTATTAGATGAAAAACAATCAGTTGGATTTGTTGGAAATACAGGTAATGTAGGTGATAAACTATTATTATTATTATTATTATTAGTTGTAGTAGTGTTACTATTATTATTATTATTGGGGATTTGATTAATTAATGCGTTCGAATTGTATGATGTGTCTAATGTTGAATGATGATTATTATTATTATTATTATTGGATGTAGACCAACGTGATGTTAATGCATGTACTGCACTACGTCTATGATGTAGCGGTAAATCACGTAGCATAGACATTGTATTACAATCTGGAATAATTAATTGATCTGTACACCATGATTCTGATGTAGTTGTTGTAGTACTATAAACTGGACTACAATGTACAACTGTATTATCTGAACGATAAATTGAATTCATATTTTGTACTTGAGATTCATAAACAGCAGCTAAAATGAATAATATAATAAATAACAACAATCTTATCAATATAGCTTTTACAGTAAAGAAAAAGTTTTTTATCTTTACTGAAAATAAATGAAACCAATATTTATTCTTGAGGTAGCAGCTGATATGCAATCTACACTACTTTTGATTTTTTTTTTGTCTTTTACAACTTGAAAGCGTGGTAAAATAAACTTCATAAATAGTGATGAAGATGATAGACTAAACATAAGTTCATTGAAACGTAACTTGAAACAATTTCAATTTTTAGACTGGTACTTAATGAGAATAATCCAGATTCCCCAGGTTTTTATGAATAAGTATTAGACATTTTCTTGTCATGATAACTTTACTTACTCCCTATTGAGCATAGGCTGCCGACCATCATTCTTCAACATACTCAGTCCCAAAACTACCTTTCCAGTTCTGTCTAATTTTTATTCATTCTTCTCACGCCTCTCTCCATTTCTAGGAGCATTGTGTTTTTTTGGTGTTCCTCTCTTCCTTTAACCTTGTGGATTACAAATGAGGGATTGTCTTGGGACACAGTTAGGTGCTTTCCCCCAATATATGTCCTATCCACCTCCAGCACTTCTTCCTGGTTTCTTCTTCAACCGCAGTTCGGATTGTCCTCTCCCACAGTTAGGCTGTTGCTGATGATGGCGGGGTGTATGAGAGGATCTTGCATTTTCCCTTGTGTATGTTCAGATCTGCAGCTGCTGCAGAGGCTGTTGCTACACTGGTCACTCTCTTTTGCACTTGTTGTTGCATGTGCGACCAGCTATATCTGAGTTGTCCACTGTATCCCGTGTTTCCCTCTAGATGTTGACGTCTTCATAATCCGGTCGATCATCAGGAGAAAGAGGAAGGGTGAGAGTAATCAACCTTGCCTGACACTGGTCTTCACTTTGAACTAGTCTTTGAGATGTCCTCCATGCACTATTTTGCAGTTTAGTGCATCATAAGAATGTAGACTATCTTCTCGGGCACACTGCAATGTCGAAGAACATTCCATAGTATCATCATATCCTCGATAGGGAATGTTTTCTCGTAGTCAATGAAGTTGATGTACAGTGATGAGTTCCATTGAATTGATTGTTCCACGATGACCTGTAATGCTGCAATTTGGTTGGTATACAATCGATTCTGACGAAATCCAGCCTGTTGATCTTGAATTCGGGTGCCTACGAAGTCCTTCATCATGTTTAACAACACCCTGTTGAAGACTTTGTCTAGTATTAAAAGAACAGTGATGCCTCTGTTGTTACGATAACAGTTTTTCTTCAAGATATCATATGTTTACATGATCTTCGTTAATTTCTCTGACAGTTTAGTAACACTTTTTGTTCGATGTTTTTTTTGCCCCATAGTCATGATTTGTTACTCTATATATAGAGTGAGTTAATTCCATTTTAATTTCTTTTGAAACTGTACAATCTTTCTTGGATTCCAACGTTGTTTAAAGAGCTATATATATATATATATATATATATATATATATATATATATATATATATATATGTGAATGTGTGAGTTGATTCCTCTAGTTATGAAATTATCTCGACTATTTGTAATTAAAAATTGTCGTAGCCCCCCTCCAAAAAAAAACAAGTCACTTGATAAAACAGTATTCATCACATATTGATTTCATTAGACGCACTACTGAAATAAAAATCAAGGACTACTAGATAGCCATTTCATCCTAATGTGGGAACTCTTAAGTAGTATGCTCAAGATACCGCTATCCAAGTGCTAAATATATATTTTTTCAAGGCTGTCACTTAAACTGTGATATTGACCGGTAAAGATTACTTTTACTTACTTTACTTAGCCTGTTACCCCCGATGGAGCATAAGCTGCCCACCAGTTTTCTCCAACCAACTCTGTCCTGGGCTTCCCTCTCCAGTTCTGTCCAATGTTTGTTCATTCCTCTCATATCTTTCTCTATTTCTCGGCGTAGTGTGTTCCTTCGCCTTCCTCTTTTCCTTTTGCCTTCAGGGTACCATGTGAGGGCTTGTCTCGTGACGCAGTTAGGTGCTTTTCGTAGTGTGTGTCCTATCCACTTCCACCGCCTCTCCCTGGTTCACTCCTCCACTGGAATCTGGTTTGTTTTCTCCAACAGTTCGTTGTTGCTGATGGTGTCTAGTCAACGAATCCGAAGTATTTTGCGTAGACAACTGTTAAGAAATACTTGTATCTTCTGGATGATGGCTTTGGTAGTTCTCCATGTTTCAGCTCCATACAGTAGAACTGTCTTGACATTTGTATTGAAAATCCTGATTTTGGTTTCGGTTGAAAGTTGTTTGGAGTTCCAGATATTTTTCAACTGTAGAAATGCAGCCCTTCTTTTTGCCAATCCGCACCCTCACATCTGCATCGGATCCACCTTTCTCGTCGATGATGCTGCCAAGATATGTAATGGTGTTAACGTCCGGTGAAGATTACAACTTACAAATTTAAAATCTCTTTTTTTTAAAAATTTTAATTTATTGCTGAAATAAAAAAAAACAACTTTAGACAAATATAACAACTCACTTGATTCTATATCTGTCTTATCTGATAATTCCAATGTTCCATTTGTTAGAGAATTAACAGTAGGATCTAATTGTCCATTAGTATTCCAATTGAATGAACCAACTTGATAAATTGGTTGATTAGTATTATTATTATTATTATTAGATTTAGGAAAACAGTTCAATGTACAATTTCCTAAAGATGCAGGAATTGAATTACATGATGATGATGACGATGAATTTGTTGACCATTCAAAAGTTGTACCACCACAACGTGCACGACCAATTAAATGTCGTACCATTGCATTTAAACGTTGTGATTCTTTACGAACCTAAAAAAAGATAATAAGTAATAGAGCAGAAATAAATAATTCAAAAAAATTAATGTGTAAACGAATATTCAAATTTTTTCCTATCCATTCGTTTATTTAAACAAAGAATTATTGGATACCTAGATCCTTGTGTACTATACAAACCAATGAATTTTATATAGGCTAAGAAATTGTGACTCTCTCCTAAGGGAACACTCACTGAGCCTTTCATCTACGAGTTATTGTACCCGTAGGAAGTGGAGCGACATTGACAGATACTATCCTGTGGTAATCCGTGACCAACAACAGGTTCATTCTATTCTATTTGTTTCATCAGGATTCTGGAGCACATGTACACCATTGGTTTGGAATCAAAGTTTTCCAACTCCCATTGGTGGATCCTGTTTACATACCAACTCACTTTAAGCTCTCATTGAACATTTGCTTTTCTTCCTCTTAATTTCCTGAATAACCTCCTCGTCACGAGAAAAAATTTAGGAGAACTGCTCTGACAATGACCATATACGCGTGACTGTACGAGAGCATTTAGAGGAGAGAGAACTCCTATCACTCGGCTTTACCAAGGCAAATGAGGGTTTTTGTATCTATTACCAGAGAAAGATAAGATATCGGTCAGTGAGTGTCTGAACTCAATAGCTAAGTGGATAAAACGATGGGGTTGAAGGCGAATGGTCCTGAATTCAAGCTAGAATGTGACAAAACAACTCTGGGATGTGGCAGATACATTGAGTTACATGAGTCAGAAATAAGACGAAATACACTTCCAAGGATTCACTGCTAGCCACCAACTATCCATGCTTACAAATGTTTGTGACCTAATGGCAATATTGAGGCACTATACACAGGATGCACAAACGTCAAATGAAACTGATCAATTGCAGTTCTAGACATTAATGAGTAGATCAAAGCAACCATCATACATATGAATTAGTAATCATGAATTTTAAAAAACTCACAATTTTTTACATTAAATAAAGATTGCCTTTAATCACTGGAAACTACAAAGCATTAAATAGATGTTTTATCCTAATACGAACCCTACGTAGGAATGCACATCCAGAAATTCACTAAGAATCGAATCCTGTACTTTCTGATTGAGAGGTGAATGCCTATTCCCTCTGTAGTAATCATGCACTTATTAGTGACTAAATTCTTAAGGTGTTATTCTTCATATTAATTTTTTTTACTGGCAATCACATTCTAACTTTAACCTCCTGCTAAATGGTAATCAACTATCAAGGCTATCCACTGAAAATGTGTATATGTACACTAAGTAAGACTGATTAATAATTGTTATCCCAAAACATCCAACAACGGTAAAATACAAACTCTTATAAACACATAATGTTCAATACTGATTAATAAATTGATAAATTCCTTTATTATAGATCAACTCAACCTGAAGCACTTCTACAGTTACTGTCGGTCCCAAGCTCGAATAAAGGGTGAGGTTTGGGCATGAGGTTAACAACCTCATCCCGTAGAAATCAAACTCGCTAAAAAAAACCCTAACCAGAGAAATAATTCACTCGTCAGTGGCCTATGCACCATTGGGCGAGGGTAAACAGGCATAAGTTAATAAATAAGTTTACTGTAGATTAGAACTGTGAAACATTTATCAATAAAAAAGAGAGTATCAATTCATTCTTCAAATCAGTTGATTGACTGACTGATTAATCATCAAGTGATTAACTATGATTGATCTTAACTGTTGAAATAATCACAAATCGTATATCTAGTTAAATTGTATTATAGGAAGACAACATTCATTCATATAAATTTTGATCACTCTCATCCTACTTTTATTGTTCTCGTCAGTTTACATTCGGTATTAACAGATTACTGTTGGTTTATTTAGTTCGTAATGTGGAAATATTGAACACACACACACAGACACACACACAGAGAAAAGAGAAATTTTTATCTTATAAAATAATAATTTCCAAATTCATAAATAACAGAAAATAAACTTACTGTTCTCAAGTACAATTCTAATCTTGATGCACATACTTCAACTTGTGCAAGCGCTTGTAATGATAATTGATGTGATTTATTCAAATGTCTACAATAGTAATAAAAATAATAATAATTGTTATTATTTTTATTGCTAATATTATTATAATCAATAATAGTAACATGAAAACGGATAGGTTTGGCCGACCCTAGCTTTATTCCAGTCTTCCCCCTACATCAGGCACCATCACTCACTGAAGCAGTCGGTGGTTTGGAATTTGTGAACATATTGTGTCAACACTGAAAAAAAAACTGGGACATCTCCTCTTGACAAGACCGACAGACAGGATGAATGAAACACGCCTCCGGTGCTAGCCACCACAATCCAACTTCATTCAGTATGAAAAATGTACTTTCTTAATTATAATGTCCTACTATTAAAAATTCTTAGCAGATTTCATATGAATTTAGTAAAACAATCTAAATTTATTTGCTCTAATTTTAGACACAAAAACAATCTAGGTTTAAACTAGAAAAAAGAAAATTGCCTAATTTTTTCTCGTTCTCCTTATCCCATTGTTTACACATTGTTTGTCAAATATGTATTTGAATTACCCTCCGATTTATGCGCCCAGATTACATCTCTGTCCATGTGTTTTGTGTAGGCTATCTTTAAGAAAAAAAATGTCACATAACACATATCCATTTTACACTATGTATATTTTCTATCCTTTTCTATCTATCTATCAATAGAGCTGTCTGTAAAGCAGACCAACTACTAACAAACAAATAAATAAAGTAAGCAACAAACAAACAAGTAAACAAACACATAAACACACTATCGTTAACCTTGACCTAATTATTTTTTTTTCTACTCTATACATGAGATTTATTGCTTGTCTAGACAAATTGGTTTAGTTCTATTACAAATTGACGTAAACTAGATTAAGACCAATTTGTTTTGAGACACAACAGCTGATTGACCACGACTGGTCGACATCTAGTTTAAGACATTGCTGCAATAATTGTGATGAATGAAAAATAATCATACTACTTGTACTACTTATGAATTTGAGTAGTTTGATGTCCTGCTGAAAAAGTTAATCTTCATCCAAATTAAAAGCTGAATAACAATTTCACATGTCTAAAGTAAAACTTATCAGCTTTCGTACACACACACACACACACTCGCATTCAGATGATTAGCTATAAAGTGGTTGTGAAGAGTATCCAAATTTTGCTTTTTATGAATGAGAACCACAGCAGTGATGGAGCGGTCTACTCTCTACTACTGAATGACGCTAAGATGCAATACTGATTAATGAGTAAAGTTCAACATGATATTTATCTAATCGATCGATGTTGATCAGATTCCATCGACCAAGTTGCATGTTATTAATTCAAAAGACTCAATATCGTGTGCACTATGCTCAACAGGAAACCCTAGAGTTAGGTCTCATGCTAACTGGGACGCTTCATTAAGGTGTACCTGTAATCTTGAGGCAAATAATGCACCCAGATACGATCTTAACCCGCATTACCTCACTTCACTCTCTCAGACGTTATCATTGACCTACTTAAAGAGTAAATGTTCCTAGTTAATTGATCACTCAGTAGTTATCAATGTCATGTCTATCTAATTCCTCTTATGATGACTGAACTCTATCAATCGCATATGACGTGCAACGTTTTAAACAATTGTAACATGCGTTATCCAAGTAAAGGTATTGCCTCCGTCCCATAAAGTTGGTTATGAAAAGAAGAGGTTGCCATGAGAGACCTAAAGATACTAAGACTTGATATGGTGAGCCAATCAAAAAAAGTAGAGTAAGAAGGCTATTCAATGACTATAAGCACTATTCTAATTAACGAATATATATCATTGGTCAAGAAATCGATTCATATTCTCGAGAGATGGAATATATATATATATATATATATATATATATATATATATATATATGGACGAGTATTTCTACGTGTTATTCGGTAGCCGAATAGCTAACTTCTCCTAAACCTTATCTTCTGTTGTATAAAAATACGATATCTGCAAATGCTGCTTGTCTGATGGAAACACCGAACTTTGAATACCATCTCATTTTTTCAGCAGTATAGCTCCGAACGTAGACCGTGAATTTGATACTGTTGATAATAGAGTTATGAACCTGATTTGCCTGATTAAATAGAACAAGAAGTACTCATTTTGGTTAGTGAAGCTAGATCAATTCATTGTGATAAACATTCCTAACTAGTACATTAATGCAGCAAGTTGGCTTGTGTAACACACATATACTTCATCTCAATTTGTTCTACCCTATATACTTGATGAAAAAAGGTGAGTCTGATGCAGATGTGAAGGCACAGATCGGCAAAGCAAGTACAACATTTCTCCGATTGATCTCGAACTAAAAACAACTATCGACAAACACTAATGTCAGAATTTTCAACGCAAATGTCAATATAGTTCTAGATTATGAGGCGGAAACTTTGAGAACCACAAACACCATCATGCAGTAGATACGAGTATTCATTAACAGTTGTCTACTCAAGATACTTCGGATCAATTGGCCAAACATCATCAGCAACAGCCTAACTGTGGGAGAGGACAATCCGAAATGCAGTTGAAGAAGAAACAAGGAAGAAGTGCTGGAGATGGATAGGACATATATTGAGGGAAAGCACCTTACTGTGTCACAAGACAATCCCTCATTTGGAATCTGCAAGGTCAAAGGAAGAGAAGAACACCGAAAAACACAATACTCCGAGGAACGGAGACCAGAAGGAGAGGAATGAACAAAAGTTAGACAGAACTGGAAAGGAAGTTTTGGGACTGAGTATGTTGAAGAATGATGTTCGGCGGTCGATAATAATCCATTGGGAGTAACAGGCGTAAGTAAGGTAAGTAATATAATTAGTACAAGTGAGAACATTTATGGTAAGACAAATAATAATTAATTTGTATTGCTTAATTGAGTCTTCACATTGAAGTTTAGGAGTACAATTGATCGGTCTCATTTGACATACGTGCATCCTGTGCCATAAGGTCAATAACATTAGCGCGAATACATGGTGACTGAGAGTGGAATCTACGAAGTGAATTTCAATTTAAGACTCATCTGAAGCTCGACGTACCCCTTCTCACATCCCTGATTGTATGTTCACTCCAAAATTCAAATCTTATTCCGTTCACTTCAAATGCTATTGCTGTTCAATTCCTCACAGAACCAATACAAATGAATTAAACTTCCCTCCATTACACAAGCGAGTGCTTGTATAGAGTCAGTAGTTCACTTTTAGAAAACATAATGGCGTTTTGAAATAATCCATACTAGTTTTTAAATGCTTCCAAAGCATTACTATTATTATCCGCTGAACTACTACTATTGAGTTCAATCAGAAAATATAAGCCCCTAAAGATTATTATTATTATTATTATTATTATTATTATTATTAATATTGGTAGTAAGTAAATAACTTTGAATACATTGTTTTCTAATTAGGCTATAGATATTTTTTCTATTTTCAATTATTTTAACTCTCAAATCAAATGAATCATTGAATTCTAATTCTAAATCAACAATGTTGATACTGTTGTTGTTGCTGTTGTTGATGTGGATGGCGTCACAGTCAAATCAAACAAACAGAGAGAGAGAGAAAAAGAAAGAAAGAGAAAGAGATTATTTAAAAAAATATTCCACTTCTTTTATACACATTCGATTGAGTTGTGTATGGGTATGCGCACCATGTACATGTCATGTACACACATATTGTGAAATAAAAAAATTAACATATTCTTTATGTTATGCTATAATAATTTTTATTGAAGTTTAACAAAGCAACTTCTTATTGTACTTTCCAGTATACAGGTGTGTGTGTGTGTGCGTGTATGTCTGACTGCATATTTGTGTGTATTTGAAAAAAAATCATGGTGTAGCACATACCATCATCATCATCATCATCATCTTCATAGACAAAAGTGCCGAGTAAACAAATAATAACACTATGTAAATTTTCTCCTACATAAATGACACTAGAATAACACACAATAAAAAAAATATTCACATAATCACACAAACAGACAACATATAAGTATGCATTGTTTAGTATTTGAGAAGTAAATATTTACTGGGAACAATATAACAATAGAATATGGAGTACATGTGTAACTAACTCTCTCTTTCATTACGAGGTTGTGAAGATTGTTAAGTTACACATTTTTGAAACCATGAATCGATCTATGTTAGACCATCATTAGAAATCTGGAAACACTGGATGGACGTTTCGTCCTGGTATACGTTCGCGCACAATACCGAAGGTCCTGGGTTCGAATACTGCGGGGTACAGGAGTCGTGTATGCGCACTATTGAAGAGCCCTATACCAAGACAAAACGGCCATCCAGTGCTTCCAGGTTTCTGATGGTGGTCTAACATTGATCGATTCATGGTTTCGAAAATATGTAACTCTCTCTTTGAACAGTATACAACACATAAAACTCACGAATTAACTAACTAACTAACTAACCAACCTAACTGACAACTTCATTGTTTAACTATGATTTAATTCTTGTACTAAGTTGGTGTTGTTGTTGTTGTTTTTTTAATGAAAAATTACATTTTGGAATGGATTAATCAACAGTTCTGTTGATAAAAACAAAAATTTATCGATATTATCACTGATAATACATATATTTTTTTTATGACAAACTTCGATAATCACTCTTTGCTGTTATTGTCACTGACTGTTGCCTGGCTATGCATATCGTTTGTGTCATCATATATATATATATATTTTTTTTTTGAAACCATGAACCGATCAATGTTAGACCACCATCAGAAACCTGGAAGCACCGGACGGCCGTTTCGTCCTGGTATGGGACTCCTCAGCAGTGCGCATCCACGACTCCTGCACCCCGCAGGATTCGAACCCAGGACCTTCGGTATTGTGCGCGAACGCACTAACCGATATATATATATATATATATATATATATATATATATATATATGATTTGATTTGATTTGAATCTATAGGCTAAACAAATATTTATCATTTACCAATGGTGATCATAATAATTATAATAATAAAACTCCCTAATGAATCCAGTGAAAAA